AACTATTTGATAAATACAAATTTTAAATGCTTATGATTAATTGCTGTTTAATAAGTATAAGATAAACATTTGATTAATTTTGTGATGTTGCTTAGATTATAAAAATGAATATGGTCAAAAATGTACTTGTTAAACAAGAGAATTGAAATGAAAAAGAAAGAAAATTGAATGTGATTATATTGTAGATTTTTGCTATAAACCTTTTACACAAAAAGGTATTACAAATCAAAAGATTGCATTAGATAATGAAATTATTAAATGAGTATTTACTAGTATTTCTTTGCTTATCATACTTTTATCACATTCAAATAATATAAATATTTGTATAGATTATATAAATAAATATTGTAAAGATATTATTTTATATAAATAAAAATAAAGTACTTTTATTATATTATAATGTAATTACTTAAATTATTAAGGTGCAAAGAATCACAAATCAGCAAAAATCACAAATTCTATTTTTAAAAATGAAGATTGTATCAATCTAATTTTATCAAAACCAAGTTCATCATTTCTAAATTACATAAATATAATCTTTTTATTATATAATATATATTATTAATTATTTTTATAAACTTACAAATTAAATTTTAATTTAGAATATATTACATTAGTTTGCTTTAATAAATATAAACAACTATGTAAAAACTTGATGAAGCAATTGATATTCCTTATTGCTTAGATGATTTAAGTACATTTGATCAAATAGATGAAAAAATATTGTCTCATAAACTGCTAGCTGAATGGAGAGAAATAGAACTTGATCTTATATATTAGAAATCTTCTAGTATTAAGGTGGATTACACTTTGATTTAAAATTCAATAGTGTCATTGTAGCATTTATTGCAAAATGCAAAAAAGAAAGAATATTCAATTATGTGTATATTCTGCAAAATAACTAAAAGTAAGCAAATAGTTTATGAAAGTTCTGTAATAGAGAATGATACTGAAGAATTTCTACAAAAATAAAATCATGTATAATATATATTTTATTATTCTTGTATTTTATTTATTATAATATATATTTTTTTATTTAATAAAAAGATTTAATTTGAAGATATCAGATGCTTCTTCATTATTGAAAAATATGAAACTAGAAATATATCAAAATTTTCCTAAAAGTGAATATCAATTTAAGGTTATTTGATTGCTGATGATGGACGTCACCTTAAATTAAATGATTACAATTTAGGCAAGAGCATTAGTAAAAAGCATTTTTAATTATAAATATTATAATTGAATATTAAAATTTTTTATTATTAGATTGCTAAAATTAAAGGAGTATATGTAACTCATCTACCTTTAATTAAGATTTTTGATAAAATTAATTATCATTATCCAAATTCTAAAAAGCCTTTACAAGATTATATTAATATATATACTAATGGTAATATTTTTATCATTATTATATTAAAAAAATTTAAATAATCTTTTATAAAATAAAGATCCAGCTTTATTTACTTCTATTAATCCAATTACAATTTTAATTACATCAATTACATTATCAAAAAAAACAAAAACAAAGCCTAACTTAATTATGTTCATCTTAAAAAAAATTACTATACAAATCTAATATTTAGATAATAAAAGGCATGAAATTTTTGGTCTTATTAATTTTGTATTTTCAATAGGTCTCTCACAAGATATAAGATTTATTGTAAAATCTTCAATTAATGAATATGAAAAAGTTTTTTATTTGATTAAATGATTAAAGAAATTTTTTTAAACAACATATTAATTTGTGAATTGATATAGAAAAAACTACAATTGATTTTAATGAACTTTTTGATGAATAATTTTATTATTATTATTATTATTATTATTATTTTATATAAATCTATAATTTTATAAATTTTATTTATTCACTATACTGAAAACATGCTTTTGATAAATGTTTATGCATGCTAAATTTAAACCTTGTATAGGATCTTGTATAGATTCAATCCAATTTCGATTTTAATGTAAATGACTTTTAATGTAAAAAAATGCTTGTTCAATCTATAATTAATTGTAAATAAATAAGTTAAAAAAAAATAAATAAAAATAAAAAAAAATGACAAAAGCTGCAGTAATTAATATATTAAGTTCTTTTTATTATAAATTTATTATATACCGGATTTAATTCTGGTGAATATGGTGGCAAACATTCAATCTGAACTCCTTTTGCATTACAAATATCAAGTAAATGCTGTCCTTTATGTATAGAAACATTAACTAATATCAAAACACTATAGGGACCTGGATATGTATTTATCTTAGAAAGCTTTGATAAAAAAAAAATTAATTTACATTAAAAATATTTATGAAAATAATAATACATACCAAAACATGTTTAATGAAATAAGAATAATCATTACTATTCATAGGACCTTCTTGAATTGCATATGCTAGAAGACCATTAAGACATAACGCTCCTTCTATAGTATATCGTTTCCCACGAACAAAAAATATGTGTTTACATGCACGTTTTCCTTTAAAATTCCATCCATAACGTCGAGAAAGTGTTCTTCTATCATACGCAGACTCATCAGAAATACAAGTTGTATTGAAGAATATTGTGACATATGAACTATAAAATTTAATCTATCATTTTCATTACGTTCTATTGCTGGTTTAGACAACTAAATATAATAAATAAGGTCGATAAATAAAATTGTTTATAACTATAAAAATATTTAGAAAAATTCTTTACCTGTTTATGGGTATAACCAAGGCGACGTATTGCTCTCCAAATAGTATAATAGCTAATATGACGTCCTAACCATAACTCCATTTCAGATTGTAGTTCCACAAATACCAGTCCACTCTCTCTTTCAAAAGATTTTCTAAATATTTTATATCATCAACTTTAAGTATTCTTATTCGTCCTAATGCTGACGATAAATTCTCTACACATCCATATTTTTGAAATTTCAGAAAAACTTAGAAACTGAAGATTTACTAATTTTAAGTTGCCTTGCAATTGCTCTACTTGAAAGCCCTTCCAGAGTCCTTTCAATTATTAACCAACAAATATGTTCATTTAATTTTGTTTTGGGCACTATAGCATTATACAAAAAATACACCGATTTTATTGTCCGGAGCGATATAATAATAAAAAAAAAAAAAATACAAAAAAATTGATTGGCTAATATACGTGTTTATTATTTTTTCAATTTGCCGAGAACCCGAGAACCCGGCAATCTTCTCGGCAAAAATTTTACCAGGTGTCTCGTAACTTATGAAATTTGCTGTAATTAAGAATCCCTCATTTCGGATTATTTATTTCCCAAATTAAACCATCTCTATTTACAGTAAGTAATTATTACTACATAATGTTCAAAGTAAAATAAAAACCCTTGGAATGCTTGAGAAGGTTGCAACATTCTAATATCATGTTGAGATGGTTTATATGTGACCAGTAATTAAAATCTGCAGCATCCCTTCAGTCATTTATGAGGTTCCTTAATACAAGATATTTTACCTATTTTATTTTCTAGATGTGACTCTTTCTTGTTAAAGGTTCATCTTGACCCAAGGATCACGCTCAGAGTAAATCCTCTTTTTCGTTCTCAATGGGCTCCTTTTACCTTGCTAAATATTTGAAGAAAAAATATATTTCTTAGATGCACGTTCTGCGGTTACCATTAAACTATTTTTTATAGGGGCAATTCTTAATTACAAACTTTTTTTCAAGGGATTCAAATATTGATTCCCTCCGTTTAACTTGTTACAAATGAGAATTTCGTCACCTTATTATCTTTTTTTTCATTCTTAATAATGCAATGGAGATCTTTTCATTCTTACATCACGATCATTCAACTACTATATTCACATATATTGTAAATTTAAAGTTCTCCGAATTTTCTTTTCGAGCCTTACCAAAAGATAAAATTATTTATGTAACACATAAGTAAAAAAAAAAAATTAATGTCAATAATAATCTTGATTAGTACTTGATTTAGAGGATAAGTGAGGATAAGTGGCGTAAAACCTATGATTGTAGCAATATGTACCTGATGTTGCATCAAGTATCTATTGGACAAATATGATTAAAGCTCTTTTTTTTTTTTTTTTTTTTCCTCTGCTTGATGTTTTCACGCATAAAAAAAAATGTTTCGAAGAACAGGTGACAGAAAAAATTTTCAACAAGCGTAACTTGCCCAATTTTGGTTAGAATTACAAAATAAATATGCAAATTAAAGCCTGACAATCACTCTATCACCTTCCAGCGAAATCCTTCCCACACTTTAACAAAAATTAAATTTTATCGAATTTCATAAAGGCAAGAAACAACCATTTTACATTACTGGAAGCAAAGAATACGATACGCTATTTGAAATACAAGGTTTGACAAAGATTCCAATTAGTACTATCCGCCGAAACCTTAAAAAAAATCCAAAATATTAGAGGTGTAAAGCATAAAGGTGATAACGGACGTATTAAAAAAATAACGACAAATACATCTCGGGCAATTGGACAATACATTCGAAGGCAACCCTCAATTTCTGCTGGGTCTGTTGCTGATAAATTTAAAGATATAGGAGTAGATATCTCCCGCTCAACTGGTTCAAGGCATTTGGTTGACCTTGAGGTTACTGAGAAAAATGGCGAAAGAATCATATTAATCTTTTAATATCAATGTAAAAGGCGGCTTCGTTTTAATTTTTTTTAATTTTTTAGGTGAATTAGGGGTGGAGTGGA